GAAAAGAACTAAATCCTAAACAAAAAACAATATATTTATAATAAAAGAAAACAATGGAGGAACCCCTACCCTTAGGCAGCATCCTCAACCCAAAGTAGGGACGGCCAGTAAAGCCTCATTGCTGGACCGGCAGCCTCCTTGCTAAACTGGTTCAGCCCTTAGCCACCACGTCAAAAATGCTCAGTTAGAACACACACACATATTATAAACATTTTCCTCTATACTAAGTCTTTGTAAAGCCAACCCAAATAGTTGAGATAAGACTAAGATAATAATGATGAGGAGGATATTATTTTTTGTCAAATGAAGTTTATAAAGCAAATCTAAATTTTCTTTCAGTTATTTTAGAGGACAGTATACACAAGCCCGTAAGTAGCGTGGCTTGCAAGTTAATTTTAAGGAATGACAAAGTTTACTGATACGATTCTACAACTCCTAGAAAGTATTTGGGAAGCGAAGTTTGCGGGAGGTGGTTCGGAAGCGAGGGAACGAAAATATGCTGGGTTGACTACATTTGGAAGGGGATGGGCATCATTTGGCAGTTGTTCCGAGTAAAAACCGCAATCAAACGGCGAATCAACGAGGTACGGGCAACGAGGTGATTTCATTACTTGTTTATAAGCAAGATTCAGATACACCACTTGTAAATACGGATACATATACACCACTTGCTTCTGAACAAGAAATATGTTCCACAACCTCTTTTTGAGTAAGATATAGATACACCACTTGCGAAAGGAAGAGATGAAACACTCAGAGGAGCAAAATTCAGAAAATGGTCTCTCAAATTCATAAAATCAAAAAACCAAAATACAATTATATAAAGATTCCCATAAGAGAAAATAACCTAATTAAAAACTAGAGAAATAAAAAATGAAAAGTAAGAAAAGAAGCAAACAAATAAAAATACCTGAAAATAAAGTAAATTAAATATTACAAAAAACTCAGCAACTTGACTCTCGCGATCGCGGTAGCCGTAAACAGCGAAATTGCAGCATTGCGGGAAAAACGCTGCTACTTTATATCTCGTTCTTCATCTTCTCCCACTTCGTAATATTGTCACTACCATGTCTCTTTCTCTGCATCTATAAGTTTTCCCACCATAAAGAAGCGCTCTTTTTCAGCTTGATGGCTACTAGTTTCACCAGTTTATCTTATGATACTTTCTTATACTCAGGTTTTTTCAACTGATTATAGTAATTAGATGAAATCGTATAGAACCATACCTCCATCAAACTCCATCAAATTTCGGTATATCCACCTTTATTCTAGAATCTTGATGTCCTCTATATGTTGTCTCCTCTCTAGACCTCCTCTAATACTAGATTCCAAAGCATCATAGCATGTCTTCTTCATCACTAAAATCCTCCATATGGAAGAGATTTATATCCTCGTCCATTTCTCCTCTTCGACTTTCCTGATCACGATCGATAGAAATTTTCCCGTAAGTTCAATCTCAGCAAACGCAAGCCTCTGCTAAAGCCGATGGATCTCTCGTAGTATCTCATCCCAGGTAAGTTACAACATGCATCTCCTTGGTGGCATGATTAGAATTTGGGGGATTGGAAGAAGTGCTTGAGGGTAGGAAAGAATTTTTTTGATGGGGGTGGTTTGGATTTGGCTGATGCTAGGAAACACTATGATAGGACTAGGGTTAGGCTAGCTCTAATATCAATTGATAATGAAGTTAACCCAAAAAAACAGCATAACGGGAATATTACTGTTGAAAACTCAAGATGATTGCCATGAAAATTCTTAAAACAAGAATAAAACAGCACAAAACACAATGATGTCCTAGATAGTATGTGGGGTTGTTGGTGGCGTGTTGGTGACAGCTACAAGAAGGCTGATGAGAGTAGGCGGCAACAGCAGGTGTTTTGGGGGTTAAGGGGCGGCAACAGGTGGGGTGTTAGATGGGTTGTGAGGTTAGCAGAAGGTAAGGGGGAGGGGTTTATGGCAGCAACAATTAAAGGGGGAGGGGGTTATGGCAGCATCAATGAAAGCAGGAGGGGATTGCAGCAGCATTAGAAGAGGGTCGTAAGGTTGGCAATAGAGAGGAATTTGACAAGAAAGTGCGCGAGGCCAATGGCAGCGAGCAAGGAAGGGGATAGGTACGGAGTTATGCGAAGTTAGTCACTACCATGGAGCAGAATACTATCGAAGCAGCACCTATCCTCGACTCCTAGGATACGAGCCTAATAAGGGAGAAACACCAATAACGAGAAATCTAAAATCATAAAAGAACTAAATCCTAAACAAAAAACAATATATTTATAATAAAAGAAAACAATGGAGGAACCCCTACCCTTAGGCAGCAACCTCAACCCAAAGTAGGGACGGCCAGTATAGCCTCCTTGTTGGACCGGCAGCCTCCTTGCTAAACTGGTTCAACCCTTAGCCACCACGTCAAAAATGCTCAGTTAGACCACACACACACATATTATAAACATTTTCCTCTATACTAAGTCTTTGTAAAGCCAACCCAAATAGTTGAGATAAGACTAAGATAATAATGATGAGCAGGATATTATTTTTTGTCAAATGAAGTTTATAAAGCAAATCTAAATTTTCTTTCAGTTATTTTAGAGGACAGTATACACAAGCCCGTAAGTAGCGTGGCTTGCAAGTTAATTTTAAGGAATTAAAGCAAATCTAAATTTTCTTTCAGTTATTTTAGAGGACAGTATACACAGGCCCGTAAGTAGCGTGGCTTGCAAGTTAATTTGAAGGAATGACAAAGTTTACTGATACGATTCTACAACTCCTAGAAAGTATTTGGGAAGCGAAGTTTGCGAGAGGTGGTTCGGAAGCGAGGGAACGAAAATATGCTGGGTTGACTACATTTGGAAGGGGATGGGCATCATTTGGCAGTTGTTCCGAGTAAAAACCGCAATCAAACGGCGAATCAACGAGGTACGGGCAACGAGGTGATTTCATTACTTGTTTATAAGCAAGATTCAGATACACCACTTGTAAATACGGATACATATACACCACTTGCTTCTGAACAAGAAATATGTTCCACAACCTCTTTTTGAGTAAGATATAGATACACCACTTGCGAAAGGAAGATGATGAAACACTCAGAGGAGCAAAATTCAGAAAATGGTCTCTCGAATTCATAAAATCAAAAAACCAACATACAATTATATAAAGATTCCCATAAGAGAAAATAACCTAATTAAAAACTAGAGAAATAAAAAATGATAAGTAAGAAAAGAAGCAAACAAATAAAAATACCTGAAAATAAAGTAAATTAAATATTAAAAAAAAACTCAGCAACTTGATTCCGCGAAATTGCAGCATTGCGGGAAAAACGCTGCTACTGTGCCCTCTTGATCCCGCGATCACAGGAAATCACAAAACTCCGGCTTCCGCATGCGACCAAACGTGATTCCACGTTTGCCCTTGCCTCCCGTGTTCCCCTTGCATCCCGCATCATTTACAAAATTATATTTTTCAAGAGTCAAAATGAGATTAGAAAAATGTGCTTAAGACTAAAAGTAAAAAAGAAGCGGCCATGCATGCTTGAAATTTCCTCAGCATGTGTGTGTGTGTGTGTAGACCTGTGAATTTCATCCATCCATCTCTTATCATGTGAATCATTTACTCACTGAACAAGTGCTTAGATTAAAAGTAAAAGGAAAGTGCTCTTGCACACTAAAAATCACAAGCAACTGACTTCCATAGTTAGGAGCGACACTAACATCCAGAGATGGGAGTGAAACATGCAAACATTACATTCATATAATATATCATCGTGTGAATCATTTCCTCATGTCTCAACTCAAGCAGAACGAGAGGAAACCCAAACTATTTTGACATTCTAAATGCATATTTACAGACAATTCGGTGAAATGGATCATGGATAATAGATGAGAGTTATTTTTATGAACACAATAATTTTTAGTTGCCTTTTTAGAAAATAACATTCATTTGCCTCCATTGTTATTAAATTCAGCAAAATCATGAGTGGATCACATATAGGAGCAAACAACTGCCCCGCTGCTAAATATGATGTTCGACTAGAGTGAAACTCAGTTGTTAACCCCCGCTGTCTCTATCATCTCTACGAAGTTGCCTGAGTATCACATTGAGAACATTGATTTACAAATCTCTAGGAATGTTATCAGATTTAATAAAAAGAGTAAAGTACGTTCCTTACATATACATGCATCATTATATATTTATCTTTTGCTTGGCATCACATTTTCAACTTCGGAATTAATTGAATTCCATTAATTGTCTCAGTAGAGGCAAGTCTACCCCTAAGTTTAGGCGCCATATTTACAATTCTTTGGCTCTATTGAGATGGCTCATTGGACCAAAAAATGTTGTCTGCGTAAATTGATGATGATGCCCAATTCAGCAATTTTAAAAATTGGACAAAAAAATTCTTTAGACCAGTGCTTCGTAGCTTGACAAACTTCGCAAATGATGATCATGATCTAGCTTTATCAAAAACTCAGAGTAAATTGATCAATGCATTTATCATATACTTTTGTGCCTTGTCAAAATTGACAAGCGCTGCAGCAGGATGAGCTAAACCTTAGTCCTCAGGCATATCAGGAAAAAATCTAATGATCATTGCATTTCTTATATCAAGAACGAATCGTAAACTATAAAAAATAAAAGCCTGGACTTAGTAAAAGGCCGTTCAGGTGCTGAAAAATCATATAGTCTTGAGACTGTACCAACCAATCCCTCTAACCAACACATGTATTCATTCAAATAATATCATCAGAACGAAGCAAACCTTCTCTTGTTTCATTACTATCAAGCAAAAAAATAAATAACAATTGTGTATTCATTCAAATTATATCATCAGAACGAAGCAAACCTTTTCTTGTTTCATTACTATCAAGCAAAAAAATAAATAAATGCAGTCTCCACCAAAAAAAAATTCATATGAATCTCAAATCCATTTTAAAAAAAACTTTTGTGCAACTCAAAGGGAAACCATAACGCTATAATTCAATGAAGCAAGATTAACTGTGTACCTCTGGTGAGTTTACGATGTCCAAGTTTCCAAGAAAGTGATTCAAATAGCCTTGCATGGCTACCTTGGCCCTGTCAGAAATAGACTGCTGTCTTCCAAGTGCTGGTCGAATAATTGGCAAAGCAGCCCTAGAGGGTACATTTCTGCACCAATATGAAGAATCTCACTGTTATTTAATAACTCTAAGAAAGCACATGGCATTCAACACGCCCTCATTCTTTGCTTATGTTTAATTTCTCTTCAAAGTAGCATACTTCATGAAAACTTTTATTTTGAAATATGTCTTAGTTGCACTTGGAAAAAGATATTAGGGGCATTTATATACATACCACCCAATTCCCAGCTATTTACATATCTAACATCTACACTTTACTTTTTACATTTATACCACCTAAATATTTTACATCAAATTAAAAATAGCACCACTTTAACTTTTAAAAAGAGAAATATATCTTTTCATGCATAAGTAAGGTGGAATGCATGTAAAAATTGAAGTTTAGGTGTTTGATAAGTAAATACATAGGAATTGAGTAGTATTTATGAAGATCTTCCTATATTTTAAATATTGCAGGTTCAGATAGCAAACCTGCCATTCTACGAATACTCTCAATGGAGCTGAAAAATGCATACGGAAAACCAGTAGGTAGAATGGTATTTTTGTTAAATTAGAATTGAGTGAAAAGATTTTAACTCTGCTTAAAAAACAAGTGAATTTGGTAGTTCTGCTACTAATGTGATCATATGAATCAGAGCTTGTAAGGTACTAGTCGTAAAGAACGTGCAAGTGCTTTTGTCAATTTCTCTAAAGCAGTGGCTAATTCAAGAAACTTAAAAAGTTCATCTTCGCTGCATAAATAGGACTATCAAATGGTCACCCGCTAAAAGCTAAAAAAGGATTTAAATTCATTGCCAATCCCATTATAGAACATCAAATTGATGGGGAATTTTCTAGTTCATTCTTAAGAACAAACTTAGCATGTTTTATTTTATAATTTTCAGGCATGAATCCAATGGAAAGGATATGCCATCGTAAGTCACCTATTTTTCGCCGAAATATTTTCCTCCTGTTGTAAATGAACTGCGTCATCCTCAACTTCATCGTCATCTTGCACAACTGCGGCAGTATCCCCTAGGCCAAGATTTTGAATCCATTCTTTAACCTTTCATGCAAAAACAACTGAGAACATTAAAATTAAGAGAAAAGCATCCAATGCTACGAGGGCCTCTAACATATACATATTCTAATTATTTATGTGAAATCATATTTATGAAAACATCATATATATGTGTATATATTTATCTCTAAATATGTGTGTGTCTACATTGTACATACATACATATCAGTGGAAAGATTATATTAAAAAAAGGAACATTTACGTACATATCACACATTTCATATGTATTTACATATCTAAAACCCAAACTTCAATTTTCACATAAATACCATCTTAACTATGCACAACAAGGTGTATTTCACTTTTTAGAAGTTAAATGTACTCTTTTTGAAGTGATATTAAGGATTTAGGATGTGTAAATGTAAAAGATAAACATTAGGTGTTAGATCTGTAAATACATAGGAATTGGGTGGTGTGTATGTAAATGCCCCTAAAAAAATTACAAAAAATAGTCATCCAAAAAAATAAACAAAATACATAGCAATACCAATAACATTGAAAAAGAAAAAAGCAATATACATTCATATGTTAAAGAAAATGCCTTCAATCAGATCAAAATAGGCTTTGCAAAGTCTGAAATCCAAAGTCATCCAATGAGGAATTGCATGTCGTTTAATGTTTAGTAAACCTAGGAGATTGAAGAAATTTTTTTATGAATTACCGTCTCCTTTGGAAAACTCAAACTGAAATACTTCATAGATTAAACATGGAAATATTGCTGATAGAATGCTGAGACTGATCCGAGCCCGAATGAAAATCAACCTTAACTTCATAGCGAACAAGCTTGGCATTGGGGTGCTACTGCTATATTGTCAATAATAGTTATAAGATTTGCAGTAAAAGTGACGCATCACTGGGTGGGCAAATATAAGTCCGGGACATAACACTTGAATATGCAGTAACCTCAACAACGACATCCAAAGAAACTAGAGTAGGTTTGAGAAGATGAAAATAGTCAAAGAAGGGCAAGGCCATTCAAAGAAGTGGTAAATTTATATTGGTAATTTATATTTACCTAAAAAAAGCCTTGAGAACCCATAAACTGACCATTAAAACCTTTTTGAGCATTAGTGCCCCTGGACTTGATCTAGGATTGAACTTTGAAACAAACAACATAAGCATGGCCAGAGATTTTGCAAAACTAAAATAGGAGGGTAAGCATTCAAATTCAACTTTTGGTCAATAATCAGATAATGAAGTGACAATCCATATCTCCCTTTCCAAAAGAGCAAAAACATATTTTTCAACAGGAGTTCAGGCCATAGACGGTCAATAAAGTTTTGTAGCAATAGCATGTACTTGAACTAATCTGCCTAATTAATTGATGCAATAGACACGTAATGCAAAGAAAACTACACATATTGCAGTAATAGGAGGCTCCTCTTAAGTATCAAAAAATAGAGATGACTTCGGCATATGCATCAATAGGACATCAAAACAATATGATTTACGAGGAAAAATTTACAATAATCTATTCCCAAATATAGTTTGATCAACACATAATGATGGTGAATTGGAACGAATTTACTAACTGAAGTGAATGAAAACTATGCTGCCAAACAAAAATGTTAGTATAAAAAAAAATATCATGTTTACCAAGAAAGTTCCTGATTCTTGTGTCTAAGAATATCCAAACCTAGTTGAAATAATAATAAAAACTAGGTAAACAAGTTCAGTTGTAAAGAAACATTAAACCTAACAACATCAATGCAAAGAATGCACAAGAATAGTAAGCTCAATAGGATGAGAAATCAAGAAAAGTGGGCAAAGCAACCACCATGAGAAAAGAAGGTGACAAGTAATGGCCAATAGAGGAACCATCGAAAGCCAGGATAGGCAATACTTGAAACAAGAAGTAAATAAATAGGTGTCACCACAGGAGCAAAAAGAGCTTTATTGAAGATAGGCACCATCAAAGAAAAAGGTTGAACAAGAGTCCAGGCCTTAAGAACAAGATAGATGGAAAAGAATCATGATTTGGATCCTCAACATTGAAACCAAACAATGTAAACAAATGAAACAAAAAGTAGGAAGAACATCAGGCAACTAAAGTGAAGACGAAGAACACATTGTAGGCAGAAGAGAGGAAGAAGGAGAAAAGCCAAAGCCGTCACTAGCCCATAAAGGGTTAGGGCGGTGAAGAGTAGAAAAATTTAGATCAGGGTGCAAATGCATGAGTGAATGCGAAGCTCAACTAAATGGTGAGTGCTCTTGAGTAGAGACAAGCGAGTACAACATGAACGAGGGATGATGAGCGCCCCAATTTTAAAAATAGTAAGTGATTCTAAGAATCTATGATCCTAGAATTTTAAATTTCAAAAGAACAAACACAACTGCTCATTGGCTTCCAGAGTTGCATAAAATTTTATGATTTATAATTTAAAGCATGAAATTATTTTTTATAAATATATAAAGATTCAAAAGTATACAAATAGTTGACTAGGTTTTTAAATGACCCTTGAATAGTTATGTCATAACTCTCTTCTTAAAGTTGTATTATATCTAAAAATTTCTATAAAACCTATATATACCCACGAGATCATTTTAGAATAATAAGTTAAAATATTTATGCATGAAACCCATCCAAACACCCTTTTCTTCATTTAATATTTCAATCATTTTGTTTCTTCTATTTTTCAATCATTTTATCTTAATCTAAAATATTGTACTTGTACAATTTAAAATTTTAAATTATTTAGCAAAAAAAATAAATTACGCTTTATAATACAAAAGCTGTCAAAAAGATAAATTATAAGTCATCTACAATAAAATACACATACATGTATATATACACACGCCAAAAACTTCTGGCTCAAAGGGTATTCTCCCTGTTCACTGAAAAGAAGTCACAAGTTCGAGTCTGGCCCATTAGTTTCTTAACTAAATAATCATTAGCTTCCTCTATGATATTCAATTGGCAACTAGCTTTGTGTCATCTTTATTTGCAACTAGCTTTGTGCGTCTTTATTTGCAATATATATATATACAAGACTTCACATTTGTACACCATAGTAAAACTGCTATGTATAGGTTTTCTTCAGTTCTCATTACGTTGCGAATCTATTACAGCATAGGGGAAGCCTTAAGGGAAAGCAGAATACTGAATGGAGTCCAAATAAAAGCATTTCTTTCAGAATACTATTTCAAAAATCAAAAGCAATAAACATACTCTAAAGTTCATGAATCCCTTTGCATTAATTTAGCTTATCTGAAATGTTAGAGCTGCTTAAAAACAACAAAACACTTTAGACAATTAATAACATCCATTGCCAAATACTTAAGAACCTGCCATGTACTTGAAGCATCTTTAGAGTATCCTAAACATATAAAACCATATTTATCATCAATTTAAATATCCAGAGATAATGAATGGTTTGATCGTTCATTTAAAGCTATATGCTTGGAACATAATGTCGAAAAAGAAGAGGATGGCATCAATGAGAAATTTCTCTGACTTTTGAGACAGCAGCATGACAATAATATCTAAAAAAATTGTTATGCATGGCCATGGACGCCACAACAACTGCCAGAGAATTTGGCAATAAAAAAA